GGGGAGATCGTCTTCGTGGTATAATGAGTCTATTTATGTTATCATTAATGCTTGATCGTAATTTTCGTATTGAAATAACTCATCCATGTAATTTAACTCATATACTTCGTCCAAATTTATATAATTGGACACAATCAATTGATGGATTAGTTGTTGTTGATCCAATAACACATCGTCGTCGTTTTAATTTAACACGTAAAATGTTAATAACAACAGCAAATGCTCGAAAAGAAGTTCTTACAAATGTTTCACAAATATTATATAATAATCGTTCAATTGATTCAATTTGGTCTGAAGATGTTTTATATTGGGCAACAAATAAAGATTATTTTTATCAATTATCAAATAATATTTTTTATAGAAAAAAATTTAAATCATATGGAATTATGACAAAATATAATATTAAATTAGAAATACTTTTTTCATTATTTTATGAAATACTTTTTCGTCCTGTTAACAAAATTCAACAACATATTTTACAATATAAATTAAAACATAAAAATAATCATATTATTTGTGCACAAATACGAACAGGTATAATGTTTTGAATGAATGAATCATTGTACAATATTTTATCGATTTTTATAATATAAGAAGAAAAAAAGTAATTTTAATCGAATTTCACTTTTTTTTTTTCTTTCATCAAAAAATTGAATCTTTAGAAATTTTATTTCTATTTACTTTGCTTTTTCATTGCTTTTTTTCAAAAAAACAAATTCTTTCATCGTAAATAAAACTGATGTGAAAGAAAACTTTAAGAAGATTTTCATGATTTCTTTAATGGAATTCAAATGATTAATATCATTGTCTAATAAGAATAGAGATTTAAAAATTTTCTATTGAATCTTTGGAAAAATCTTTGAAACTTCTTACTTTTGTGCATAGAACATCAAATCAATTTTATTTTATTTTATTTTTTTGTTATTATTGAAAGAATACAATGAGAGTTTAGAAGAGATTGTTATAATTAATTGTGATAGAATCAACATGAAATTCGCAGTCTGAGACGAATTAATTCTATCTTTATATTGTCAAATCAAGTTTTGACAGTTTAGAAACTCTTGAATGCAATTTCTAAAATTCGATAATAATATTAATATACTAGTGTAATCAGACAAGGCTCGGTACTCCTCTATCAAAGATTAGATTTCGCTTAGAAAGAAGTTTGAGCCTTCTCTAGGAGCGTTACTAGAGAGCCTCTGTGTTCTCTACAAATATGAGCAGGGTGCTGACTAAGAAAATGTTTGGAAGTGTCAAATCGCTTTTGAGTTGAGGCTATATGCATCAAGTAGGTTCTAATAAGTTATGAATATCCTGAAAAAGATTTTTGGTTAATAGCGTATTACTACCAAGATACTGTACGTATTTGTATCGTACTTTTATCAGAATGCCATGATACTCCGCAGGAACACCAGAAAAACGGAATTTCGACTTGAAACTTTGTATAGAGACAAACCTTAGTGAGAATAGTTTATTGTCAAAGTCTAAGATCTTCTATTCGCTCAAACTCTTTTCCGAGTACTCATAGCTCATTAGAACCTACCAAATGTGCATAGTAGAGCCCGTCGGGATCACGAATTTTTCAACTCAGATATGAACCCAGTCGAAATAAAATTTTCAGATCTGGACCCGATCGGTTTCGGGTAGAACCCAATGGACTCTAGTGCATATTCCCAACCCAATAGCGATTTGACACTTAGAGACGTTCCCTTGTCAGCTTCTCTTCTGCAGCTTTTTTTCTGGTTATGCTACTAATTGTTATTCATATAATTGAATAGCATACAATACATGTAAATGCTTCATGCACAATAAGTAATTTCAGAACTTGAAAATATAATTCAAATTGATTGTTTTTCTGTTTTGTTTTTGTTATAGAGTTCAGTTATGAAAATGCGTTGATAAATTTGAGACATGTCAAATATAATTTTATCTAACAAAATATAATATTGATCAAATAAAAATATTTAATTTGTTTGAAAAATAAATTTCGATAATTATTTTCTTAGAAATTTTTATTTTATTTTATTTTTCTAGGAAAAAATCCAACAATTCCACATGATAAAGTACTTCCCGGTCGTCAAAATATAAGTGAAATGATATTTTCATTTATTGATTCAAATAATTCCAATATAAATTCACAAATTTTTTTAACAACTGACAATGAACAAGTTTATCATGAAGCTCGACAACGTTATGGTTCTCGTCTTTTATATGTACCTGGTGAAATAACACATCTTGATCGTTCATTAAATATTGGTCAAAAAGTTTGTCGTGAACAAGATAAACTTTTAACAGATTTTCATTTATTAGGAGAATTATGTGATATATCAATTATATCAAATTCAGGTTTTGGTTTTTGGGGAAATTTAAGAAGATATAAACCCTTCGAACAATTGTTCGTTTTTTGTGCTGGAAGAATTTATAAAATAGAATCAATGTGGCATTTATATAAAATGAGGGAACAAAATCATTATGGAGAATTATGTTAATATGATTTTGTTTTCCAGTATTTCGATTATTCTGTTTGTTATTTTTGTTATTATTTTTTTTTTTGTTTTTTGTTTATTTATTTTAAAGAAAGTTTCATATCTATATACAGTCCACGTCCATTGAAAGTATACCCTTTGAATTTTTTGTTTTTTTATTAATATACGTGTTTTATCTATCAACCTACTATATATAGGAAGAAAGTCCGAAATGCGCTGCATCTTTTGGTATATTTACATTGACCATCAAATACAGTTTTAAAGTATGAAAGGTGTAGTAGAAGAAAAAGTCACTTTTCCTTTTTTGCCACAGTGTTTATAATGTTGTAACATTTTTTATTTAGCATATATCTCGACTTAGGTAAATGATAAAATGTTGAATTTTTTTCCAAAAGATACGCCATGAAAAGCTCTACAAAAGCTGCATAATCGAATTCTATTTTTAAACTGTTCTAGTGATTTTTCTGATACTCAATATGAAAAAATTACATGCCAGTGTCACATCCCATCACATTGGAACTGTTGGAAGACTTTTTTAATTGTCATACATCTCGACTTGAGAAAATGACGGAATATGGAATTTTTTTTTCAAAAACGTATGCCGTCGAAAGCTCTACAGAACTTGTAACTTGTATAGACCAAGTCCTGTAGTGAATCAGAGAAGTCCTCGAAACGTTTTCTACATGACGGGAAGTGATAATGCTATATAAGTTGTTTCATTGTGGGTATCAGAAAAACCACTAGAGCAGATAAAAAAGAATTCGATCATACAGCTTTTATAGAGCTTTTCACGGCGCATCTTTTGGAAAAAAATTCAACATTTTATCATTTACCTAAGTCGAGATATATGCTAAATAAAAAATATTACACCAGTACGGATACCCGAAATTTGGTAAAAGAAAAAATGTCACTTTTTTTCTGATACACTTTTTATACTTCAAACTGCATTTGATGGTCAATGTAAATATACCAAAAGATGTAGCGCATTCCGGGCTTTCTTCCTATATATAGTAGGTTAATACATAAAAAACGTATATTAATAAAAAACAAAAAACTCGAAGGGTATACTTCCAATGGGCGTGGACTGTATGTATTGTTCTAAAGACTATCTCGAATAAAAAAAAAAAAAACATTGGAAGTTACTTCTATAACATAGATATGATATGGTAAGAAAAAACCAAAGAAGTCTGACTACAGTATGAAATCATTTTCAACATTGAACTTGTTATCATATAAAATACATTTAATCATAGATGTATCGAATTCAAATAACCAATGATCTAAATATTCTTGAGAAACTAATAAAGAGTGGACCGAAAGTTTCTAAACAAAATATTTAACTATTTTTCGCATATTTAAACGGATTGGAAAAAAAAATGAAATAGAATCAGAATTTGTGCTCAGTCAAAATATATTCTTAGGATTTTTCTGTGACATATGACTATTGAACTACAAGTAAATCTTGATGGAACTCAAAAAAAAAGCTTTTCTGGAGAAACATAAGTCTTATTTTTCTGAAGACAAGTCTATATCAAATAAGTTGTGTCAATATATAGTATTTGATGGTGATCTCTATTCTACAAAATGACACAAGAATGAAGAGTTTTACTTAATCCATTAAAAATGGCTGAGTTATGACGGAGAGTCATTTTGCAGTGAGAAGACAAAAAGTCCGAAAAATAGTCGTTTTTTTACGATAGGCTTTATAGAAATCTTTCGATTCACTCTTAGTTGCATTGAATCACAGATTACAAGCCTGTTCTAATTGTCAATTAAAACAATCACCAATGAAATGTGTTCTAGATCAAGTAATTAAGCAAAAAAAAAACTCATATACTTTTCAATAGGAAAAAATATATTTCATACTATGACAAAAATCCAACAACTGAGTTTTTAGTCAACATAACTGAATGGTGACGATGATCATCATGTATAACAAAAAACACTGTGTTTATAAGATGGACGATGACTTCCGAAGATTATAAACTATAGGAAAAATAACGAGCTTGATGAAATTATCTTAATAGTATCTACATCAACAAGTATAGCCGAAAGACAATGTATCATCATCATCATCTTCTTCTTCACTGAATTCTTTTTTCCAAAAAAATCTATAGCACTTGTCAATATATATATTTAGAATAAGCTCTCTCATAAATTTGACTGCATACAGCATGATGCTAGGGTAGCACTATTAGTTTTACGATAGTATGAAAAGTTTGAAATTCTTTATCGTTTACAAAATCTCAAGTTACAAAAAGAGAATTATTTATCGAAAATTAAATGAATAACTAAAATATATATATATATATAATATATAAAAACAAAAAATATTATTGTAACTAATTTGATGGCGCTATAAACAAAGACTAAGTTGTGTCGAATATAGTTCATATTGTGTATCACATCAGTGTGTGCCTTAAATTAATATTAATTTAAGTTTATGTAAAAAAAAAAAGCAAATTCTTCATCATTGAATATGTTTAACTTAACAATGATCAATTAATAAATTTCATGATTACAACTTCTTCATCACGTCCAAATATTTCCGACACAAATTTTCCAGTACTAAGTTTAATTAGTAATCATTATAATTCAATGTTTTTAAATACAAATGATGAAATTGAATTAGCTCGTTATGGTTTAAGAGTTGGTTCAACACTTGGTACAGGTACATATGCAAAAGTTAAATCAGCTTATAGTGAACAATTATCACATAAAGTTGCTATTAAAATAATTAATCGACGTAAAGCTCCAACAGATTTTCAACGACATTTTTTACCACGTGAATTATCAATATTACAACAAATAAATCATTTACATATTATACAAGTTTATGATATATTTTCATATGGAAGTAAATTATGTATTGTTATGGAATTAGCTAAAACTGATTTACTTGATTATATTAAATTAATTGGAAGATTAAATGAAGATAAAGCAAGAAAAATGTTTACACAATTAATATCAGCTATAGATTATTTACATCAAATGAATATTGTTCATCGTAAAAATTGAATTTTTCTTTTTATCAATCCAATTTTTTTTTCTTTTTTTTTTTTTAAACAAAAGGTGATTTAAAATGTGAAAATGTTCTATTAGATAAAAATTTTGATGTTAAATTATCGGATTTTGGTTTTGCACGAGTAATACAAACTAATGAATTATCTCATACATATTGTGGTTCAGCTGCTTATGCTTCTTGTGAAATTCTTCAAGGTATTCATTAAAAAAACAGTTTTTGTTTTTTTTCCATATTTATTCCAAGTCAAACTTTTTTTCATATGCTTGACATCTACAGACTTCAAAATATATCCGGATCACATAACTTTCCTTTCATCGACAGGCACTTGTATGGTTGCATAAGTCATGCACAGACTTCATAAAAGAAATCATAGGAATGGATATACTTACAATGATCAATTGGAATAAAATAATTACATATTTTCTACTCAAAACGAAATAATGCTTCTTGCCTTTAAGGGAGACTCATGCTCTCCTTTTTGAAATCTCTGAAGAACGACTCATTAGAAATATTTTAAATTTTGAGTGTAGATAGATACCGAAAAGAAGAGTAAAAGTTGTTATAGATTCTAAGCTTTCAAATATTTCCTTTTAGAAAATATCTGGATCGCAAAGACTAAAAATCGTCCTGCTTTCTCAGCCTCAATACGTCCGATAAAGATTTTTTTGGTTTCGTTTTGTCTTCTTCCATTCGAATAAAAAGATCAAAATACTAATCTTATCTCCAAAAATACATGTTTGTTTTTTTTTTGATAAAATGCACCAAAAACCAACGATCGAATATTCTTCAAAACAGAAAAAAGTAGACACCTCAAACAGTGTCAAGTATCTGTAAGAAAAGTTTCAGTTCGATCGAACATCCTATGTCGGAGAAACGGGAGACGATTCTGCACTTCTTTTCGTATAAAAATTGATTTTCAAAAACTAATTTTCCTATATGTATCAGAACCTTTTTTTCTCCAACTAAAGTGATTGACATCTAATGGTGTTAGAGATTCATGATTCATGCTCATAGCACCTTTGAAATGAGAAAATTATCGTTATCATTAGGTGAATTTTGTATACAAAGAAATAATCTCAGCGCGAGTTTTTCTGCTAGAAATTTCGAGAGTTGAGCTTAATAAAAGTGCTAACCAACAACGAAAAGCTCTCATGTATACGGCATTTACTTAGCGATGAGAGATCAAAAACCGAAAAAGTTTCGATTTAAAATATCCGGAAAGGAATGAGGCGATCTCCTTAAGAATGTCTCGATCTAATTACTCATTTAAATTCTCATTTTATTCTACTTGTTAAAGTCTTGATTATTTAATATATGGATTTTTATTAAGAATTGAATCATTTTAAGCGTAAAATTGGAAAAAAAAGCTGAAAAGTTCCACAGGCTACAAGAAATTTTGAGCGATAAATTCTAGCGTCGATCGCCATGAAACTTTACATTTTTTTTTTCTGAATAGACATATTTTCTATATATTGTCTAATATACTGAATCAATTGTCTCTCATCGTGGCCTAGTCTCCACTATGAAATTTAGTACTAAATTAAGAAACGTAGTTAGTAGAAAAATTAATTCAGAATTAATTTAACTTCGAGAGATGATTTAACTTCAATCTAGCAAACCTACACTATTACCATTAAATCAATAACAGATACCATAGTAATACTCATAGACTATAGATGATTATAAGAGATGTTGATAGTACCCTTGTTTCTCTCTTCAGAAACCTATCAGACTTTCAGAGTTCACAGTTATCCTAAGAAACGAATTAGTAGTATTCATCTTTGAATTAGTGTTTACTTATATACTACTAACATTAAATAGTTGACAACTACTGATATTTACATCGAGAGAACAGTTAAAACATTACAAGAAAAAAATTTTCGTATATGCAAGCACATTACATACACTTGAATAGAATTCAAATGCTTGAGATCGTCAAAAGGTCTTAAGTCTTGTTTCAACATATATATATCTATATCACATAACTTTCTTGACCAAGCTACTTAATTTTTTCATGTCACATAAAAATAAAAAGTTTGACTCGAATTATTTTTAAATTTAAGGTATACCATATAATGCTATTCCAGCTGATATATGGTCATGTGGAGTTATTCTATATATAATGGTCTATGGGTTAGGTTCTCTTTGTTTTTTGTTTTCATTTTTCTATTGTCTTTTTTCTTTTTTCTTTTTTTTTTGAAAATCAATCACAGTTCAATGCCATTTGATGATTCAAATATACGAAAACTTGTACGATGTCAACTTGAAAAAAAAATTCATTTTAGTCGTTATAAACTTTTATCAATTGAATGTAAACAATTAATATTATCTTTACTTGAACCTGATATTAAAATTCGTGCTACAATAATTCAAATTAAAAATAATGATTGGATTAAAGGACGTATTTCATCAATAATAATTAATAATGATTCACCAACAAATATTTCATTATCTGGAATAGGAAGATCTATACCAACTACACCAAAATTATTTAGTCCAATTGTAAATAATTTACAAGAATCAACAATAAAAATGATGAAAACAACAATAACTGATAATTATCAATTATCAACATTAAATCAAAAAAATAGTTTTGGACAAATTATTAATAAATCATTAACAATAACAAATTCTCTTGCAAAAGATTAAAATAAAACTTAAATTTTATTTTATTGTATATATATATAAACAGTAAAATTTTAGTCTTTCTATTCTAAATACGAAAATCATTTTTTTTTTCTAAATACTTTCTCTTGTTTTTACTAATTTCACTAATGTAAAAACACTTTCTATGTTTTTTTTTACCAAGTGGACTACAACAAAATGGACGACGAACATTGATCTATTAATAATAATAATGAAGGACTCCCCCTAGAAATCGAACTTCGACGAGACATATAAGGCATGAGTGAAACTTTGCATAGATATTCGGCTCATGGAAATACATTGATAAAAAAGAATTTCATGCTTTCATACCTTACCGTTTAAGAGACTTCAAGGAATCAAGCTACAAATTAGAGATTTTACACAGACAAATTTTTTATCAATATATATCAAGCTACAGAGCTTGGGTTGCTTTTATTTGAAGGAGCACTCATTTTCATTTCGGATGAAGGAAAAGTTTTTTTCTTTATTTTTACTCTGTTTCATTTTTCGGATCATCAAAATTTCAATAGCCTGGAAATGCTACATATGAATTTTTGAAAAACTCAAGGTTTACCTAGCATTGATTAATTTAACAGAATCATCTTGTTTTCTTATTAAATTTAAAATTTCTTCTGATGATAAGAACTTAACAATGATTCCAAGTATCCTAGATACACATAGATATTCAAAAATTTAATCAATTTTAACTTTTCTATTTAATATCTAATATATATAATTATTCGTTCACAATTCTCTCAAATCAGATATGATTCGTGATAGTATACTAATCTTAAATAACATAATATTTCTGAACATATAAGCTGTTGCTAATTTACGGGAGGATAAATTTTCGATGTTCGAGTTAAAATAGTTTGATTTCACAGGTCTCTTTACGAGATACATCACGATAGTTTTCTACTACCCTACCATTGCCTTTATATTTGTTATATTATTCAACAACGTAATAAAGATAGAAGAATAACAAACTATCACTTATTGTCTTACAGTTTTTTTTAAGACTGATAATGATGGTTAGTTTTTACTAATAATTCATAAGAAATATGCTGTTCTATTTTATATAAAACATCTATTTTGAGGATGCGTGTAAAGAAAAGATCCACAACTATATCTTTAAATCATTGTAGATCTCAAAAATGTATCTCTAAGATGCACAAGAGTGGATTACCTCAGAAAAATATTTATTTATTTTATAGATCTAATTCCACAAAAACAAAAAAATGTTTACTGATTGCTCTAGACATCATTATTTGTCCAGTTAATGTCAAAAATCACAATTATTTTTAACAATTTGTATACTAAGCAACTCAGACAGACATGTTCATATGTTTATCTCGGCAAATCATTTTTTTTTTGTTTTTCTTGATGAACATCGAGTTTTCTCAGGAGAATGAGAACTTAAAGAAGAAAACTTTTCATTTGAGAATTGCTTTGTTTTTTTGTTTTTTTCTATAGTAAAATATTTTCTTGTATCAAAAAGATTAATGTTGAAAATCATTAGATTTATTTCTACATAGATTGTTATCTATTTATCTATCTTGAATACGAAATATGCCAAGTACATTCGATTGTGATCAATGATGAATGTTACTTTGACGTGTGTATTTTTTTCTTTTCAAAGATTTGATAAATGATGTAATTAATTCATATAAAACAATATAATAAATCATTTTCTTTTTGATGTTATTTTAATATTTTCTAGTTGATTATCTTATTTGCAAATATAAAATATATTTAATTCTATTTAAGTATCTCTTCGATTGACATAGATGGAAACGCTATATATATATATATATATGTGTATCATTAATCTTGGATAGTACAAACTTGATCTCTTTGATCTATTTAAATGATGTTCTTTCTCACACGTTCAAATCATTTATTTATTTTTTTTTGTATATATGCCGGCATAAATAGATGAGAAAAACTTGTGAATACAACATGTTCGTGCAAGTAACAATGAATTAGTCGATTATATTTTATATCATATAATAACAAGTGTGAGAAATCTCTTTCGATGTGTATGTTAAATGATCAATGTCTGACAATGAAAAGTACTTAATATGAGATTTATGATTTTTTTTATATTCGTCAATGAATTTAAAGAAAAAACAAAAACAAAACAAAAAGATGAAAGAGAAATAATATTATTTTATATCAGACTGTTCATATATAACCATAACTACTGATACAATCATCAAATATACGAAAAAAAAAAAAATGTCAATAAATTCTACATTGGATAAAAAGAAAAATCGATATATGTCGTTGTTAACCAATCGTTTGTTCTCTCTTTTTTTCTCAATTATAGTGATTTATGATCGATCGAACTCGCGCGCTTGTATATGTGTCTTTCTCTCTCTCTCTGTTTTTTTCTCTCCACCTTCAATCACTCATCATTTACTCTCTTAGCCGCGTACATATACATATTTTATTCAATGACGACATCAACTAAAACACAACAACTCTATGGTGAATATATAAATCCAACGGTAAAATTTATTTTGTTTTTGAAAATCTAAAGGAAAAGTTTGGTTTGTTTTTTTTTTTTAAATTAAATAGAATGATCAATATTTACCACAAAAAGAAAATCCATTAGTATTAATGGCACAAGCATGTAATAATATTGGTAAAGAATTATTAATAACATTAAAACAATCACCATCTCCTCCACCACTTTTATCTAAAACTCGAAAATCTAATTCACCACAAGAAATAAAAAAATCTTTAAAACGAATGGCATCAACAACATATTCATCATCATCACCAACTAAAAAAATTTTCTTTCCTCAATTATCTTATTATCCATCATCATCTATATTTGATTCACTTTTTTATTATCATTTAAATAAAATATTTTCATCATCAACATTTGATTTATCATTATTATCAACATCATCATTAAATTATTATTCAGCTTTTTCTTCAATACCTCAACGATCTTCTTATTTAATGGATTCTATATTATCATCATCATCATCACCATTTATTTGTAATTGGATAGATTCATCTATTCCCAATAGACTTTGTGGAAAACGTTTTACAAATCATATTCATTTACTTGAACATCTTTGTACAGAACATACATCAATATCATCTATTAAATCTTTATATCCATCATATTATTCATCAACATCAGTAGAAAAACTATAAAAAAAAAAAAAAGCAAACTAAGTTACAGTGAAATGGCGAGGCATTTTTCTTTTTTCGTTTTTGTCTTCCGTGTATTTTTGTTTTGCTTTGATATTACAAAATGAGATATTAGTTTAGTTTGAATTTTCTTTTTTTTGAATAACGATATAATTATTGATTCATTCTGATTACAAAAAAATGGAAGGAAAGAAATGGAGCATAAACGACAATGAAGTATAGATGAATCATGAAAAAGTCATTTGTGTGTATGTGTATATATATATATAAAAAAGAAAGCAATCATTTGAATAAGATCTATTGCTTGTCTTTTGATCTATCCGATAACAAATATTCTTCAGCTCATCTAGTTGATTTAATCGAGAGAATAGACACAATAGTGTCAATTACATATTTATAACACCTTTAGAGAAATCAAATATAATTCAAAAACGAATAAAGTCATTGAAATAATCGATTAGATATTATCGTGAAATGTGAACAAATTCAAAGTGAAGAATTTTCTTTTGTTAACTAATCGCAAAAAGAAAATATATTGATGACACCATAAACTCAATGACGATGATCTATTGTTTTGTATATGTATATGTATATTGATAAAGAAAAATACAGTTGTTATTTGATTGTCTTTATTCAGATAAAACGATGCTTTTAACGAAGGAGGATCTTTCTTGCTTTGATCAATATGTCACAGCATGCTCGATTAATCGACTCTTATTTTGTTCTTCTCTTCATCCATTAGATTGAAGAGATAGATAGATAGATAGATGACACACTTGTTCATCTACTGCATAGTTAATCTAACTCGCCACCACCTGTTTTCTATGTTTCTCCAAAAAAAAAAATAATATGATCAAAAGGCTAATCAATCGACCACCTACATGTCAATGTTATTTTTTCTTAATTGACCTCCCATCAAACTCCCTCCTCTTCTTTCTCATTGATGTGTTTTTGTTTTCCTAGGCTTCTAAGAATACTATTCTAATCGATGTCTTGTTACTAGTACATTTCTTTTTGATTATGTTCGATTAATGTTATTCTTAAATAGTATTGTAGAATAACATGAAAAAACAAAGTATCATATATATTATAAAGTATTGTTTAGATATGAGATTTATTTTAATTGTATGGAGTATTGACAAGTGGATAATCGAATTTATTCACTTGAAAATGAGTCAATAAAAACACATCGATTAATAATAACTTGACGGTAATGATCAGAGAATAAAATCAGTTATATTCTTGAGAAAGACTATATGCATGTAAGAGACAAATATTTCATTTCATCAAGATCTTATCTAGATAAATTTTGTTTTACCGTGTCATGTATATTTGACATTTATATGAGTATATTGAATATATAAAATGACTGTTTTTTTTCGATTTATCTTTTGTTTTTTTCTTCTTTTTTTATCAAATCAATCAGTCATTTTCAATGGAATAGAGTATGTTGGATTCAAAAATTTCAGACCTGAACGATAGGCTCTATCTGAGAATGATATATATTTAACTTCTATGTTGAAATTTTTCTAATCTAATTTGTATTTGATTGATGAAAATAAAATGTTTAGTTTAATATTCTTTGGTTAATCTCTGATGAAGTTTATATAAGTACTTTAGAAGCATATTTTGACGCCAATAGATTTTCAGGTATGAATATTTTCGTAGGGTCTCAACCATGTATACAAAATTGATCTTCAATTTTGATGAAATTTTTTAAGATTTGTATAGATTTTAGTTCTAAGAATTTTGGATAAAAAAAAAAATTTTGAAAAGCTTTTATTGTGATGAAGATATACTCAAAATATTTGAAGCAGTGCAAAATCAAAACTCCACAAAAGAAAACCAATCTTCAATATGGTATGACTGATACTGTTTTCAATCTAATGAGATATCTCCGAGTTCAAATCATTCAGTGATTTCTAACATTCATGTAAAAATACTAAATGTACCAATTTTTAGCAATCCAAAAAAGGGTGGTAAAATGAACTCATTATACTTGTTTCAGTTCGCGTTTTTTTACAGGTAAAACCAAATGAATACTTTCCTGTTATCCTGACCATCGCAGGGTGAGGGTGAGGGTGGTGGGGATAACAGGAAAGTACCGATTCCATATTGTAGCTATGTTAAAACCGCTGTGAATTCTGTACTATCAAGGTTGTAGAGCAAGTCATGCTCTATCGATTATACTATGCCATCATATGGAGCAATTCGGCTTCTTTTTTAAAACAATAGTGGACGCAAGATAGCACTGCATTTTTGTGCAGTCGGTAACTAATCAGACCATATTTGAGACTCCTATGTTTTTTTTTCTAACTCAAGTCAAATTTAGTACAATCAGGTGCACTTCGTTACGAGAAATTTGAATATGATCTTGAATTTTATTTTTAACCTTGTTTTAATGTACAAAATTACCAAGACTGATCTGAAAAAATTGTGCGAAAAAAAGATCGTTTTTTTTAGAATTTTTATTTTTTCTGTTTAAACTATTTTCAAAAATTTTTTTCTTATCAAAATGTTTAGAATTAAAAGTTTGATAAATCCAGAAAATTTCATCAAAATCGGACATAATTTTAGTACAACTTAGTTAAGATCCAATGAAAATATCCACATACTATTGATTAAAGATTTTTATTTAGAATAATAAAATAGATGCATAAATAATAATGATTTTTTCTTTCTTAATTTTATTATTATTTTACAGTTTCAACTAAAGTATTGTTTTTTATTTGCTTTGATATAGTACAATGATGTTGTTGTTGTGCTTGTTGATATGAAGATTGGCCACCGAAAAATACAAACCAAAAAAGAATACGAGCAACATTTTGACAACGGTTAATATTCGATGATGACAATGAATGTTGACATGCTTCAATCATACAATGTAGAAATGTAGTATCACATATCATTTGTGTTTTACCACATGTGTCGTAACATAGATCGTGTTCATTACAACATACAATTAAAACATCTTCACCAATATTTCTAAGAAATGTATCGATGTTCAAGGTAACTGGACCACAACCATTTGCTTGACGACGAAATCGATTACTGGCACCATTTAATGAATGAAGAGAAAGGACAAAAAAAGATAAAATGAATAGAAGCAGCATCTTTCATTTAGATTACCGTTGACACTTATGTCTATGTAATGGACAAGGTTTGTATGCATCCAAAAAAAAAACACGTCATTTTTTTATTGATTTAAGAAGAAGAAAAATAGGCCTGATGCTTCTTTAAATATATTTTTCAAAAATGCAAAAAAGAAACATTATGTAAATGAGAAGTTATATTCTAATTTAATGGTCTTATAATACGAGAAAAGTTTTTTTCTATGCATCACAAAAAAACAAACAAACGAAATAACATTTTTGATTTATTTTACCGAAAATTAACTAATAAACTAAAACAAGTTAATCTATAGTACGCAGTCTCCATAATCAGGGACTTACGAGGAAGCATTCCCAACTGTCACATCGCTTTTGAGTCGAGCGTATGCGCATCATGTAGGCTCTAATAATCTATGAATACTCTGAAAAAAGTTCGTGCCGCTAGTTTATTGCTCCAGAGATATTGCATTTTTACTGTATTTATAAGCAAAAAACTATGGTCCCCTCAGGAATACTAGAAAAACTGAGTTTCGAATTTCAACTTGAAACTTCGTACAAGGATAGGTCTCGATGAGAATAGTTTAGTGTGAAAGTTTCAGATCTTTTGATTGCTTCTAGTCTGAAATAAGAACATCGGAATCTGCTGGTGTACATAAGCTATTTTACTATAGCTGTACCTCAGGATAGGAACAACGAAAAGATCTGAAACTTTCACAATAAACTATTCTTACTGAGGTCTATTTCTATGCAAAGTTTCAAGTCGAAATTCGAAACTTAGTTTCTCCAGTGTTCCTGAGGGTGACTACGGCTTTTTTCCTTAAACATACAGTAAAAATGCAATATCTCGGCAGTAATAAGCTAGCAGCACGAACTATTTTAAGAGTATTCATAGATTATTAGAGCCTACATGATGCGCATATGCTCGACTCAAAAGCGATGTGACAGTTGAGAATGTTCCCTCGTTAGTCAGGAATTTTCCAAGGGGATATCTGACTTGTTTTGATGGTGCACACCAGTAGGAAAATAATTTTTTGTTTCGTGAAAAAGTTTTTTTGGCCAAATGGGGATGGCTGGCATCCTTGCATCCCTCTGACTACACCTCTGTTCATAATATCTATTGCTCGGTGTGTTATTTTTCTTGTTCTGCTGTTCATTGAAATTTAGGGTGTTTTTTCAGTAAGAAAAAAAAGGGCGTCTTTAGAATCCAAGAAACAATGACTAACTGAAAACATAGTTGAAGTTTGACAACTGCTTAACTTTTATTTCTGTGTATGTTCATTGATAGCTCATCAGTAGAATTAAATAATGAGTTAATTCATTCATCTTGCAAATAGAAAAGATATTTCAGAGACATTTTAAGGATGATTTGATGGAACAATGAAGAAAAAATATGGAAAGATGAACTAAAATTCAAAATAATTGATTGAAAGAAATTCAGTTGTTAATCGATTTGAATCTTTTTTTAACCATATTTCACACAATTGTAATTAAGTGATCGACGAGAAATATGAATCAAAGAAATGTAAATGAGTTATTTAGACAAACTTAACTAATCATCAATCGTATTTTTAATTTCTCTCTCTGTTCATTGACGAAGTTTTGTCGAACTCGAATAACAAGGCGAATATTTCGATCGAATAACGGGCCAAGTACAATGAAAATAATAGAAAAAGAAACTCAGTAATGATATTAGCGAATAGAAAATTGATGAAGTAGAAAACCAAGGTTTATAGAACATTTTACAAAAAGTAACATTAACAAAATGCTTATATATGATTGTTGATTGACCAATTGTTTAATAACAAACGAGAGATTATTCCAATGGTTTCTTCTTCTAAACAGTCTTCATTAAAATCGATGAAATTTCAATAAAAAAAATATCATAATCTTCAAAAAGTTAATTGATTAGCTACATTATGAACAAACATCTTTACTTTCTTCTTCTATTGAGAGAATGGAAAATGGCAGTAGCCATCAGTTAGTAGCGGTGGCGGACATCGCCTAGTGTCTTTTCGACTGGCGACTGCGCCAAACAGTAACTGAAAATTTTTTCTCGTATCTATTGCTTTATAATATTTCTTATAAATAGTGCTTCATTTGGGAACACTTACCTAAGAACAGCAACGTAAAGTTGAAAATACCACGAAAGAATATTTTATTAGACAAAACGTAGTCGGACATATGTATGCTTATTGAATGTTCGTTTCCATCTCAGCTTATTTTGTAGTTAAATTTGCACACATTTAAGTTTAATGTGAATTTAAATATTATATTCGTCACAATGAAATTTATTAAATCTTAAGTTAGGTTGATTTGTTGTTATCAAGATAAGTTTTAATCAAAACTTATTACGTTTTTATTCATAAATTTAATAAATGAATATGAAATAGAGTAATAAAAACAAACACTATACTTGTCATTATGGAGTGAACAATGTATATCTCTGATTCTCTTAACTAATGAATCAAAAGGAATAACATTTGAAAACTTCATTTTAATTCTCAGAAGTTATTTAGCAAGATATTCAATTATATAAATATACATGTCATTCTTTACCAATTAGTGTACTAGTCGAACAATGACATCAATCAAATTCGATTGTAAATCGATTTAATTCTGATCATATTCATAATAATTCATATATTAATATATAAGACACAATATTGTTGTTATTATTAAAAATTGTGCAAATAGAGATCTCTGAAAATGAAACCAAAATAAATCTATTTTAAAATTCTCAATTAATAATTCATAAGACATATAATGTTATTTATTAACATTTCATATATTCGCTCAATTTTTTTATTTGATTATGTTCGACATAATTTTAATCGATCATAACAGTTCGAAATCATAGTATTCAGTGCGATGGTAGTCAAGATGATAATTTTTTTAATCAAAGATGATTCAAAAAAATTTTCATCGAATATCTTAAAACAAATTAATTGTCGATGGATAATCAAGATTTCAAAGTTGAATATTTACTGGAATAAAAGCTTGATTAATTTTATTCTATGAAATTTTATCTGCAAAAAAAATCATTAGTTATGGTTTATTATCAGTATTTCAACATTATTTAATTCATTCGTTTATTCAGATTTAATATATTAAAAAAATTCTGTCTATTGACCTTTATTTCTGTTAAAAGCAAATAAAAAACAAATAAGAAGCTTTACAGAATAAAATAGTCAGTTTCACAATCGACCTAAATAAATAAATTTTCATACGGCATAGCTAATCAAATATATATTTTTTTTTTGGTTTTTTTTTTTATAAAGAAAAAAGTTCATTCAATAAATAAATAAATAAATAAATAAATCCATTATGCTACGCTTGTTATAGTTGGTAATTGTTGTTCTAATGCAAAGTTTTTAATAATCGATGAATAATCTTTTGAAGTTAATAGATTATGATTTAAATATGATTGAAGTATATGTGAAAAATTGTAAATTTCTCTAAAAGTAACATCAGTATATAAACGATAATAACGTGGAATACTAAATTGTTCAAGTATATAAACTGTTCGATCAATATTACTTTTCCATCTATGTGATGGTTCAACTAATCGACGTAAACGTGGTGTTAATGTTGAATAATTACGACGTAAAACTGAAACACTTGGTCGAGAAAGAGTTTTTAATGATGATGTTTGTTTATGAAGATGAGTTTTATTTGGAATATAATCATGATTAGTTGAAATTCGTACTGATTTTGATATTAGAGGTGTTGATCGTATTATATTTCGTGTTAATAAACGAGAAGACTTTGATAATGGTTGATTTAGACGACACGGTAAACGAAAATTACATCGATGAGGTAAAACTAAAAGAAAAAAAAAAGCAATTTATTTTCTTGTTTAACTAAAAACAATAATTTAACATACGAATTCGATCATAATAATTAGTTATATGATTTCGACGTTTGGATTTTCTCATAAGATTATCACCAGTACGTTTTTTTATTGGATCTATATTCGATAATAAAAATTTAATTTCTTCATTATCATCATTTTGTAACATTAAATCAATACGTTTTCGTATTTGATCAATATGTTGTTCATTATAACGAATCCGTAGTGAATTTTTATTATAATCATTTAAATATAAATCACAATAATCAAAACGTGGTTGTCGTCGTCGAAGAGAACTTAATATTGAATTTGGTATAAATATTCGAGGTGATGGAATATAACCTTTAAGCATTTCTTTAGGTGTTCTATTTGGTATTGATCGATATTTTATTTTTGTTAAATGATTTACTAATTCTGATGATGATGAACATTCTTCTTTTGATTGAGATGATAATGCAAATATGTCTTGATAAAGTTGTGCTGTCTAAATAAAAAAGAATAAAAATTTGAGCAGAAAAAAAAAGTGAAAGTGTTCTTTCGTATTTTTTTTTACTGTATTCGATTTTGTTGTTATTGAACTTCGTAGTTTTTCTCTATAATGTTTAATAATATCATCAATATTTAATAATTCATTATTAACAATTGCAATAGGCTGTTGTCTTTCACGTAATGTTCTTTCATATCTTTCAAATAAAGTTGCTAATACAGCTGTTGATGTATTTTCTGAACTTTTTGTTTGTATTCTTTGATTTGTTGTATTAGTATAATAACGATATGGAACTAGAATACTACAAGGACTAAGTGTTGAACATGATGATTGATCAATAGTTGATGCATATGAATTATAACCAGTATCGGAATATTTTGATAATGTTCTTTCTTGACGTAAACGATCATTTTCACAAATTGATGAAGTTTTACATTGAGAATCACTTAAATGAGGATCTAAATCACCATATGAACCAATCTAAATAACAATGACAACAGAAAAAAAAAAGATTTAATAAGAACATTTTAATTTAATTTACTTTTTGACGATGATGATAAGTCCAAGGTAATAATCTTCTTGCATTGTTTCCATCATCAATTTTATCAATAATTTCATAATGATTATTTATAATTACAGAAGATGAAGAATTTCGAATAGGTGATGATTCTATTGATGATGATGTTCGATATTTTACGCGCTCAATTTCTGTATCTTGTTCAGTAACTGTTTGAATTGATTGATCTTGTTGTTTTGAAGAAATAAAAGTTAAATTCGTATTCTGTTGTTCATCATGATATGTAATAAAATCAGATAAAACTCTATGAGTTGAAAGTTGAAGCCACCATAGAGGATAATCATCACCAGTTGATACTGATTGATTTGAATATTTAATACCATTACGAATCATTGTTCTTGTATCCCTATCATGATATGATGAAAAAGTACGAACATATGGATTTACAATAGATGATAGAAGATTTTTATT